CGGTAAAACTTGACTAATAACTGAATAAAGAGAATCGACCAAGAGGTCACCTTAAAACCAAAAAAAAAAAAAAAAATAGTAAATTTCATGATAGAAATAAGCGTACCCATAATTAAAATCATGTTTAAATTTTCAACTTATTAAATAAAATTAGGTGCACAAATGAGAGATTTTATATTGATTTTACAATATGCAAATGGTAGAAACTTGTGAGATCATTTACAAACAAAGTGAGAGCTTAATTATTATAAAATTTCATGGACTGAACTCATTAAAATTACAACTGAAATAACTCTTGATTTGGAATATTTATATAATAATAGCATTATTCATCATGATCTAGTAAGTTTTAATGTCTTAATTTATTGATATAGATAGCTAACAATTATTACGGTAAATAATAATTCTACTCATCTCTTAAAATCTTTTTAGCATTCTAAGAATATCTTAATAAGTGATAGTAAAGCCTTAATTGCAGACTTTGGAATATCAAGACAGTTAAATGGATCTACTACTTCAAGTTCTGCTGTGATCAGTATGATAGTATATATTGATCCACAGTGTCTTAATGATAACAAATAGCAAAATAAGAAGTCTGATATTTATAGTTTGGGTGTAATATTCTGGGAACTTACTAGTGGGATTCTTCTATTTAATAATCACAATAATAGTGTGACTATTATTGTAGAACTTATAAATAGTACCAGAAAAAAGATGATCAAAAATATTCTCTTAGATTATGCTAGCCTTTATAATAGATGTTGGTCTCCTTTTCCTGACTAGCACCCAACGCTAAATAAAATTTTAACAGAACTTAAGAAACTATCAACAGAAACAAATGTTAAATTTATTATAAATGATAGTTTCACTAAAATTGATATGGAGTAAGTACAAATCTTGAACTTAAATTATTGTATTAAAAGTTTTATTCACTACTGATATTTATATTATCTTTATTTTAAAATAATTTTTAATTGTAGAAAGCCTGTTGAAAAATATTTTGATTCAATTGACACTAATTCTGAAATATCTGAAATTGATCAATATCTAACTGAAAAATTTTTTAAAAAACGTATTGAATTAATAAATGGAAATTTAATAATAGATTGCCCTATCCCTTCAAATTTATTAAAAAGCTTTCCTAATATAAGTTCAAATAAATTTATAAATATAAAATATACTGCTTATACAAGCAAACCAGATAATTTCAAAAATGATAATTTTACTCTTCGTCAAATTGAATATAAACCTTCGAGAGAAACAGAACTATTTATTTTAATAACACTGAATGAGGTAATAAAGTTGTAGTTATTAATAAATTGTAACTGCTATTTTTAACTAATTAATATTTATCTTCAATATATATTATTAGGAAGATGATGCTCAATTATCTCGAACTCTTAATAGAATTATAAAAAATATTGCTTACCTTTGTTCTATCAAGAATTTTGAAATATGGGTATATATTATTTATTTTTATTATAGTCATATACAGTAAATACCTTTTTTAATATTTATTATTTTATTTGTAAGAATGAAAATGGATAGAAGAAGATTGTTTTGTGTATAGTCTCTAATAGACGTAATAATATTAATGAACGTGCTTTAGCATATTTAGACACTCTTGGTGTTTATCAACATAATATTGCAAAATCTCAATTGGATAATAAATTTGTTAGAGCTCACATATATGAATATAT